GGCCTCGGCTGCTACTGAGAGAGCAGCCAAGTCCAGGTCTTGTGACACCCATAGGATTCACCTCTCCAGAGCCAACACCAGCTTTCCATGCAGCAGGAGGAGAAGGTGGGAACTGAGCCATGGAGGTTCCTAGCTGCATATCGACAAGGAAGGCATCTGCAGCTCCACAGCCTCCATTGCCCTGGCCCAAACCGGGAATGGGCCTCCTGCCCCATGCCAGGTTTACTGCCTGCTGCTGCTCCTGTTCGACTTGAACAGCTTCTGTGGAACTGCCCCTTCCGTCCTGGTAGAAAACAGCCAGGAACAAAATTTCTCTTCTGTTGGGAATTCTGAAAATAGCTTTGTCTGCTTCAGAGGAAAAAAGGTAAATGCTGTCACGACATGACTGCAGTGACTTTGCTGAGGCGTGGATAAGCGGAGTTCCACCAGTCTTGCGCAGGCCCAGGGACCCTGTTGCCTGGCTCTGCGCTGCTCAAGAGTGTCTGTCTGGACCAGACCAAAGATTTTCCTTCCATGACACGCTCCTGGTTGTTCATCGAGGATGGAGCCTGAGCACTGCAGTCCTTAGGCCACAGTATCTCTGCCGGAAACCAGCTCCCCTGCAGGTGGGGGACCTCTCCTGCGAGCTGGCTGGGGCCCTGTCTCCCTGCACCATGCTGCTTCCCCTTGCTCCTGGGTGCTCTGGTCGATGTGGGGAGAGAGCTCTTCACACCCGGACCTTTGGATCTAGCTCCCGTTCGTGTTTACCTTAGAGCAGCTAAGCTCTTGGCTCAGCCCATGCAAAAGCTGAGCATGGAGGCTGCTCAGGAGAATCCTGTGCTTTGATGGGAGCTGGGGGCTGCCGGGAGGAAGGTGCGTGGTTGTTATGGCTGGAGCCTGGCCAGGATGGTGTAAATTTAGCTGAGGACAGAATTTCCTCTCCCTGCCCCCATCCCTGTCTCTGATCTGTGCTGGTCTTTCCTCACTCATCCTCACGTCATTTCTGCTCCTCGTCACGTTCGCAGCCGCCTCTGCCCGCTGCGGCGAGCTGCGTCTGGCTGATCTCTGCCTGAGCGCTGGGTGTTTTAAATGGGTGTATGGCTTCCCGCTCTGATGACTGTGCGATAGCACAGCCCTGCGTCTGCCTTCAATTAGTGCCGCTGGTGAAGTGCAGCTCCGTGTCCTTTGTTCCCTGGGCCAGCGGTGTGGCGTGCAGCACGGGCGTTCGCTGATGGGCTGCTCTTGGGAACATTTTTGCGTGCCAGCCAACTGCCCGGTGCTGAATTTTGCCTTAATTCACATCTAAAAACATGAAATAATGCATTTTCTCTCTTCTTCTCAAAGCCCATTTCAGCACTGCAGGCTAGAAATGCCTTTTGAACAAAAGGAGAAGTAGGACGTTGCTCCGTGGCTACTGGCGCACAGCCGCAGCTCTCCCCACGTGGACCGCGTCCCCTGCCCGGAGCAGCTCTTCAGGCTGCGCTCGCCCGGAGCTGGCTTCAGGGAGCCGCAGGAGAGGGACGTTGCAGAAGGGTGGTTGTGTGGTTTGGCTCTGTCCTGGCCCCGTTGTTAGCGAGCAAGTGCTCAACACGGCAGCGACGGGGGGCGGCTGGGTTGTGCCGGACAGTGCTCATTCATTGATTATTTTTTGTCTTTCTCTTTTGCTGTCACAGTTTGACAAAGAAGGGCTAGTCCATGAGATGGGATGGGCTTGGTGCACCCCAAACCTTCATTTCCCTTGCTGAGTGCTCGGCAGGTTTGGGATGGGCAGAGTTCTGCTCTGACAGTCAGAAACCTGGGCTTTGCTGCCAGCTTCACCCCTGAGCTGCTGTGTGAGCACCTGCCTGGAGAGGAGAGAAGTGCCCATGGGCCACAAGCCAGTGGAAGAAAACACTTTGGTTTTGCTCTAGATCTTCAAGGGGATAGATGTGCATTTCCCTGCTGAGCTCTGCCACACACTGCGTGCAAAATGTCCTGTGGGTTATTTTTCTTCTCTTAAGGCATCAGTTTTCTTGTCGGAGGAGCAGGCTGGGGTTTATACTGGGCATTTCCAGGGCTTGTGTGGAAAGGGAGAGCAGCAGTCGGAAAGGAAAGGGGCAAAATAAGGTTTGACTTGGCTGTCTTTGGGAAGTTTGCATGTGGATGAACCTGAGCTATGTGTGTCATGCAGCATGTCTGAGGGACACAAATGTGTCCTCTTCTTGGCCCATCATTTCTGGTTTGGTGACTCTGGGTAGGAGAGGAGCCAAGATGAGCATCTCTAGAACAGGCAGGGAGGCTGAGTCTGGGACCAGTTGACCCTCGTTTAGCATTCTGAAAGCCATAGCGTTGGCCACACAGTCTTAAGACACTCTCCGTAGCCAAGACCTACCCTTCTGGGTTTCTTTTCCTAATCTGCCCTCTGCATTCCCAGGCGTGGCCTCCTGGTTGGAGTTCCTCCCTGGCTGCCAGTCCTGAGAGCGAGCGTGATGTGTGAGAACTCAAGGCGCTCAGGAGACAGTAGCTCCTTGTTCCTCTCTGCACTGTCAGCACAGCTCCTGGGGCCATGAACAACTCTGTGGTTTTATCGCAACCAGATCATTGTTGACTTCATCTGTGATCCCAGCTCCGAAGAATGCTCTGATTTGGTGCAGTGGGCTCGTGGGGGCACAGCATGTCTCCATGTGCCCATAGAAGATGCTTGTGGTTGGTGGCCATGTGGCCTGTGGCCTTCAGACAAGGGTTTACCAAGCCATGGGAATTCATGGGGGTTGGCGAGGGTTTGCTTGCAGCTATTGTGGTTTATAGTGTGGGAGGACTGGTGAAACCTCTGTGTTATCTCAAGTAAGTTTGGATGCATCTTCGGTTTAGCCAGTGCAGACAGTGGGGTACTTTCATTGCTCCTCAGTTGTGCACAAGCTGCAGAACCAGTTGGTGGAGTCCTCCAGTCAGGAAAGCAGGGACTGGGTATTGTGAATGTAGGGGGAAAAAACCAACAGTGTCATGAACATGGGCTGACCTACCACTGGGCTGCGAAGATGTGGGGTCGTTGGTTCCCTGAGGAATGGAGCAGCGCTGCAAAGCAGGGACAGAGCCACTGAATGAGGACACATTCTGAGAGGTGACAATTTCTGCCACACCTGGATCTAGTCCAAGCCTTCCACTTGACTCTTACACTCGGAAATGATTGGGAACAAAGTACACCAACGCGTGTGATTTAAGGGTGCTGCTGTCTGGGCAGGATGGTTTGGAAAAGAGCTTCGTGCATGCCATATGACAGCTGCTGTGTGGCAGGAGTTTTCCTGCTCTGGGAAGGTTTCCCAGTTCTATTTTTCTCAGCTTTTAGGACCTTGTACCTGCAACTTCTGAGGTCACATTCCCTCAGCTTGCAGGTTGGCAGCATAGGTAAAACACACTTCTTTTTCCTCCTTCTTTCCTTTTTTCCTTGCAGTAACTGGGTACCTTGTAGCAGAACCTGGTGCCGGCTGTGCGTGGTGGGGTGCCGGGCTGCAGCCCAGGGGTCACCAAGCAGGCCCTGCTGATCAGGTGCTCTCTGGAGCCACTGCCAGAGACGTGCGGTTCCCAGAGAAGCGATGGGAGCTCTGGCTGGGGGCAGGGCCAGGAGTGTGGCAGGCGGGCTAAAAAGCCAAAAGCTTCTCAGGAACCCGTGTGGCAAGTGGCGGGTTCCTCCAGCACCACCAGCGTTGCGTTGACTTTATCGTATGTGCTGTGGTGTTAACCCCCCAGCTTCTGGCATCGTGTGGTTATATGAGATTATCAGCTTTTGTCTGTTTCAAATAAATTCCCGTTCAGAAAGCAGGTTGTCTGCCTAGGTTCAGAACCCAAACTCAAGGTTTGAATAGTTTTTCTGTGCATGCTGGGCTGTTGCTGGGCTGGGCACTTTGCTTAACGAATACACAGATCCTTCTTTATTTTGAAATGGCTTCAAAGCTTAAATGGTTGCTGTAAGGTCCAGAATACATGAGCTGCTATTCCAAGTGGATTCAGAGGGGAGGCTGCAGTATAGCTTGGACTAGACAACAGATGGACCTGCACCACGTGGAAGCAGATCCACATCAGCCGGGACTAGGATCTGGGGGTTAAGTTTGGACCCGGTTTTCTGGCAGCTTTTCTAACCCTTCAGACCTGCACACGCACACAACCAGAAGCAGCACATTTTTGCCAAGAGCAGGTTTTCTTGCAGCAAACCTTTGTCTCGGCTGCATCAGTCAGGATATCTGAGAAATCTTCCGGCCGAATAAACCCGTCTGACAGAAGGAGTCAGAGTCATGGCTGGGACAGCATCCGGTACGTGCACAACCTCGCTGCAGGACACGGGTAGCGCAAGAGACGTTGCCTCTGGCCTGCGGCCGCGGTGGCTTTTGTCCTGTCCTTGCTGGCAGGCTCCTCCTGGAGCGCAAGCGGAGGCAGGAAATCCCGGGCAGCTGCGCTGGGAGCCCGCTCGCCTGGCCTGTCTCCTTGCCTCGCCGGGCCGCCGAGGCGAGCTGAGCCAGCCCTGCGTGTGTGTGCGTGCGTAGGCGGGGGGGCTGCTGCATGGATTTAGCGAAGGCTGGGAGGGAACACATGGGTTGGGTTTTTTTTTTCTTGGCCCGCAGTGGCTGTCCGTCCTGTCGGCCGCGGTTATGGATTCGATCATTATTCAGGAGCGGTTAGTGGAGCGGCTGCTTTCTCCCCGGACGCAGGCACAGCGAAGCCACCCAGCCAAGCTGAAGGTACGGGGATGTATTTATAGCCTCGCGCGAGTCGGGGAGCAGCAGGGACAGGAGGGGGAGGATGGTGCCCGAGCAGACGCGTGCAGCACAAGATGAGACCTCTGAGGAGCAGAGGAGCGGAAGGACGCTGGTAAGGGGGAGATGGTGGGGACAGAAAGGAGGGGTGCAGTCCTTGCGGGAGCAGGATGGACAGCTGGGAGGTGCACGACATGTTTTTGTGTGGTTATTTGATGCAGCGATTCCCCGTCTGAATGGCGTGTGCGCGCCTGGGGGGCTCAGGGCAGGAGTTAGCGCTGCGTGTATGCCCAAACGCAGTCTGGTTTGTGTTACCGTGTTAATGCTGTGCTTCGCCAGCCCCGTTTCTTCCTGCTGCAGCAAACGCTGGTGGGCGAGCGGTTTTGCTGATCCTCCCCTGCTCAGCCCCAGGCCCGAGGCAACAGATGTACACGGGAGACGCCCAGGGGGCTGTTTGCGTTATAAATTTATGCAGCTTTCTGGCGATGAAAGGAAGCAAAGGGTCTGCTGCTCCTCTGGGGCTGGGCTGTGCTGGTTTGCGCCGAAGCTTTTTTGTGGCAGCCGTGCCTGGCCAGAGGGGAACGGCTGGAGGAAGGGGCTGGACGGCTTGTGCTGGAGGCTCTAACACGGAGAGGGCTCCCCCGTGAAGAAGTGGAGGCAGGGGCAGCACAAGGATCCCAGCACAAGCTCCGTTATTTCTGGGGTTTGCTCCAGACCTGGGGTAGGAGCTATTCTTCAAATTTTCTGTGGTCCCGTGGTGTTTAATTTTAGCTCTTCTGAATGTACCCAGCAAGGCCCTATTTGTCCCCGGGCTGAATGAAGTCACACGAGATCTGGATTGGTTTAAACAACACATCCACCGGGGAGGCGAGGAAGGAGCTGGGAATGGCAGGAGTGATGGAGGCTGTGCTGTGTACCCTGTCTTGGAGGTACAGGCAGCCCTGCGGACACCTTGGTACCGGGGATAGCTTCTCTGTGCAGCAGATCCTGTTTCTCCCCTGACGGGAACAGGACTTGAACCCATCAGTGCTTTGTTCCTTGGCTTGAACTCCCAGGGAAAGCACTGCCTGCCAGGGAGCCTTGGCCACCTCGGCTGGCTGGTGGGGGATGTGGGGACACAGGGTGTTGCTGTGATGTCCAGGGAACCAGCGAGCATGTGCCGAGAGACCAGACAGACATGTTTTGCTTGGCCTGGGGTGCCTTGGTTTGTAACTGAGCCCCAAAGGTTGGCCACATCTCTTGGTGGCCTCTGCTGCAGCGTGTGGGGCACGTTCTCAGGCGTGTGGGAGCGGGATGCCAGGGGGGACAAAGGCAGCACTTGGAGGAGCCAGTGAGGCGAGGGGCTCCTTGTGCCAGAATGCTGCTGGCTCGGCTGGCCGGACCCCTTTCCCAACAGCTGGGAAGTGCAGTTCAGCGACCGGCTGTCCCGGCCTGTGGTAGCTTGATGGGAGCTGTCTCGCGAGGGTCAGCAGCATGCGAGGAGGCTGTGATGCCTCTAGAAGCTCCCTCAGTTCAAGTTTCTCATCTAATTAATAGATTTCAGCTTCTCACAACCCAGAAAGCCACCTGCCTCCTTCAGCAGCCCTCGCAGCCCTTTATGTCCCCTTCGGCGCTCTCCAGCCCATGTGTAGGTGCTCTGCTGATAGCGTCTGTGTTGGGTCCCAACGAAGATGGTGATGATGTAGAGCTTTGGAGACGGCAGACACCAGGCTCAGGAGGCTGCTGGGGCTCCTTAAGTGCAGTGCTGATGTTGGCACACCAGCACAGGAGGTGGCACGTGCCTGTTGCAGCACCTGAACGTGGCTGGGATGGGAGCACATGTTGGGTATCTCAAAGCCAAGATGAGGATCTCTGGATCTGGGCTGGCTGTGGTGCAGGGACCACACTGTTGCTCTAGAGAGAAGGCTGTTAGAAGAAGGGGATCTCTCCCCATAATTTCCCCTGCATCTGTTGCCTTCATCCTTGGCAGAAGGGCTGTCCACTGGCTCTTGGCAGGGCTCTGCAGTCCGTAGGTGACTGATCGGACAGTCTGACAGACTGCTTTTCCCTTTGCGACTCTGGCTGCCTCCCACTGCGAGGGAAGCTCTTCTCAGGTTCATGCTCAGCACCGACCTTCCTGACCATGAGGGAAATGGCCGTACGAGCTATGGGCACAGGGCAGTGTCTGTGCCAGCCAGGAGTTGCTCATTTCAAATGTCATGATTCCACCAAACTATGGGGCGGTGACTGGAGGTACAGTAAATCCGTGCTTTCTTGGTTGGGCTGAACAGAAACGAGAGATCAGGTTCAGCCAGTTACACTTGGCTGAAGCGGAGTTGCACCAGAGCTGCTCCCCGCTGTCTCCACTGTCAGCCCTTAGTCACCTAGGTTATGAACCAAGTAAGAGCAACACACCCCGAGCCTCAGCTGGGGTTTTGTTAGGATGTTACTGGTACTATTTCACATGTCAAGCCACTGGAGAGGGCAGATGCTTGTTGTCTTTCCAAAGTCTGGTAAAGATCAGGGCAGGTCCCTTCTGCTCCGACCGAATGCTTGGCTGTATGAGAAGCGCAAGGGAAACGATGTTTTGTGTTTGGGCAGCTTGCTGAGCCACACTGGTCCTTGCACTGCGAGCTGCGGGCTGCTACGTGTGTGTTCGGGTCGTGTTCAGGGATGTGTTTCACTGGGAAGCAAAGCAGCCGGGGAGTAGCCCTGGCACTGAGGGACACGGGCTGGAAGCGCCATTTTTTTCTTGTTTTCTTCATCTTGCTGTTACCCCATTTCTCACCCTGCTTTGCACACCCCGTGTTTACCCTTCACTGAGCCTTCTGGGTGGCAGTCCGCAGTGTCCCCAGGCCGGCGTTGCTTTGCTGTGTGTGGCTCGTCAGAGTCCTTGGACCATGATGGCTATCAGCCATGTCTGTCCCATCCGAGTGGGCAGCTCCAGAGCAGCCGCAAATTGGGAGGAGGAGGCCCTGTGTCCTCCCTGCTGTATGTCCACAGCGGGACTTTGCAGGCTGGCTGGCTGAGGATGCCCGAGGATGCTCACACAGGGGAACATGCAGCCAGAGGCTGGAGCAGGCTGCTTGGGAGCTGCGTTGCCCACTTGTGGTGTGGAAGTAGGTGTGAGTCAGTGTTGCCCTAAACTTGACCCACTGGATTGTAATTTCTGTTTCTTTGAGTGTGGCCCCGGGAGTAGAGATAGTTAAACTTGGGAACAGAGGTGTTCCTTGCTGTGCCTGGAGAACCAGTGCCAGAGAGCTGTGGGCTGAAGCCAGCCATATGCTTGAAGGCATCCATGGCCGGGAGACCGGGGCCTGGTTTTGAGGAACTCTAGAGTCTGTGGATTTGCCTGTGGTGTGAATCCTAGGGGTGTGTTTATTTTAAGTGATGTTGAAAAGTGGAGTCTATGATGTCTCTAGCTTGGGCATTTGTGAACGCCTGTTTCCCCTTGGGTCTGGCCTGGAAAGTATGTGAGAAGGGAGGTCTTTGCCAGGGTCTGTGCTCACCCTCCCTCTGTGACAGGGCCTGGGGAAGGGAACACGTTGCCGTGGGGGTGTGGACTGTGAAGGCCCAGGGGTGCTCAGGTGGAGGTGGTTAGGCAGTAGGTAACACTCCAGTGATACCATATGTAATACCCTCGCCAAAAGCATCTCACCTGTGTTCTCGATACTTTCACATCTTCCCACTTCCCGTGCTCCTTGAAATTGTGTCTCTTCGGAAATAACACTAGGGATTACTCAGGATTTCCCCTTACTCAGCCAGGAGTGGCTGTGACACAGCAAGAAATAATCCCACCTCAGGTCAAACAGAGGCCAAGACACTGTGCAATCCTCTAGACATGGGTCAGGACACCGCAAGCACCGGGGTGCTAATCACAGAGCTATCCATCGTGTGCCGCATGCGCCTCTGGAGGGAGAAGTGCAGGAACAGCTCTGAAAGACCTGGGGAGATGTGACATTTGGGGACCCTGCTGTGAAGGGAGCCTGCAGCCTGCAGCTGTGCAGGAGAACCAAAGAGTTAGGAAGGTTGTGTGACAGTAGCAGCCCCAGATGTGCTCTCTGCTGGGAACGACGGGATGTGCCTTTTCCCTCGTGCTCTCCGTGCTGGGAGGCTGCTGTGAACTGCAGTGTCGGCTGGTGAGAGCAGCAGAGCAGGGCTGTGGCTGGGTGGAGGTGGCCCTCGTGCCCACCTGCAGGAAGGGCAAAAGCCCCTGAACCTACAGGGTGTAGGGCATGCCCTGCCCCTTGCTGCTGTCGGGGCAGGGACCAACCTCTCCTCCACCCCTGGGCTCTGCCCCAGGGTGAGTCCAGCTCCCTGACGCCGTGCGAGGCTTGAGCAGGAGGGGTGGCACACGCTGACCTGCTCCCGTCCGCCTCTGCTCTGCAGGACCATGAGAAGCAGTACGTGGGCTTTGCCACTCTGCCGAACCAGGTCCACCGGAAATCCGTGAAGAAGGGTTTCGACTTCACCCTGATGGTCGCAGGTGAGACTGCCCGTGGATGGAGGTGGCTGGGCCACGTGCTGGGTGCATGGAGGGGACGGGCTCTCCTCACTTCCCTTAGGTGCTCCCTTGGCGCCTGGATCCTTCCCTCGCTCTGTGCTGGGCTTTGGCTCAGACCTTGCTTTGCTCCCCAGCCTGTGTCACAGCCGGACAGTTCCCGCAGAAGGAACAGGCTGTCCCTGACCATCGCCGAGTGTAGCTTCTCCAGCGGAGTGGCTGCTCTGGGTGGTGAAGGCAGGGCCAGCCAACACAGAGGGAAAGGAAGGGGAGGGAGGATGGAGGAGCTGGGAGATCACATTTGTGCAAGGATTGAGACATCTTGCAGCAAAAGTCCTCCCACTGCTGGAAGAACGTAATGGCCATAAACAGCTTCTGACAGCTCATCTCTCTCACTTCCTCTGGCTCAGGATTCAGAGCCTTGTTCTGGGTTTCATTTGTAAGCCAATTAGTGGGTCATGTTGCTTGCTCTTCCCTCCTCCCCTTTGCGATCTGTCAATTAGGAGAATCGGGTCTGGGCAAATCCACGCTGGTGAATAGCCTGTTCCTGACAGACCTCTACAAAGACAGGAAGCTCCTCAATGCAGAGGGTAAGTTGGGGACAAAGGGGGCAAATGGTTCATGTGTCCACAGGTCTAAACTGTCTTAAGGACCAGTCCTTTGGTTCCTTGCTTCAGCAGCTGCTACGGGCTTAGCTGGGTCCCAGCCCCATCTGTTGCTCTTTTGCTGGCTGCAGAGGCACTGGTGTTTGAGGAAGAAGGGTTTGGCTGTGGGGCTCTTCATCCTATGAAGTCAAGGCAGCAGAGTAGTGCTAGCCCTTTGGGTTGAGATGTTGAGATTTGTCTTTTGTTCCTGGGTGCTGGAAGGTGGTAGGGATTCCCCTTACCAAACTGACAGATGAAATGTTCAGAGCAGCTGGGCTACAAGCCCTTGAGGGGTGTGTGTGCCTTCTCAGAGTGTGTCTGCCTGCTGCTACTGCTCCCTTGATGCTCCTTGGGGATGGTCAGGGGGTTTTGAACCCCACGTTACTCCCTGTGCTCCGTGATAAGGAGGGAGCTGGTTTGTGGCGGATGTGAGCGGGGACGCCCAGCGTTACTGACTGGCTTTAACTCGCATGTTCCTGTTCAAAGAGAGAATCAACCAGACAGTGGAGATCGTCAAGCACACTGTGGACATTGAGGAGAAGGGTGTCAAGCTGAAGCTGACCATAGTGGACACACCAGGCTTTGGGGATGCTGTTAACAACACTGAGTGGTGAGCAGGCCGCTGCTGCCTTCCTCCCAGTCCTTGGGCATGTCTGTTTTCTGTGGGTGCTTCACTGGAAGGGGGTCTGGCAGCAGGAAGGGGATGATGCTGCCTCATAGTCCCTAGGAGACGCTGTCCTGTCAAACACATTTCACTTTGATTGAATTGCCATTCCCAGCTGGAAGCCCATCACCGACTACATCGACCAGCAGTTTGAACAGTATTTCCGTGATGAGAGCGGCCTGAACCGGAAGAACATCCAGGACAACCGAGTGCATTGCTGCCTCTACTTCATTTCGCCCTTCGGGCACGGGTGAGAGCCCCCAGTCCAGGGACAGGCTGTGACTCAGTCTGGAGGGAAGACCCTGGTGCCCCAGGATTGCTCTATAGCCGCTTGTACATTGGCAGGGCTGTTGGCACAGGAGAGCCATCCGGATGCTCTCCTTCAGCTGAGCACCACACCACCTCCCCCTGCTTACGGGCATGACAAACTGCCTGTGATCAGGCAGAGTGGATCTTCCGCAGGCCTTACAGCCTGCTTTGTGAATCAGAAGAAATAATGCCACACAGGCTTTCATCTTCCTGCCTAGTTAAGCCTGACTGATGAGTAGGAAAGGGAGTTTAAGCTGCTGCAGTCCCTGTACCTTACTGGCTCGTGTGCTGGCCTAGCCTGGAGCAGCTGGGGGGGGCTGTGTTGGCTGCCTACAGCACAGGACAGCTGGAGGGAGGCCCCCGGCTGTGGCCTGGGAAGTATTTGGTCTGCAAGGGAATGACTACTCAGCCTGTGCCTGCGTGAGACAGTCAGCAGGTAAAATCTGAGACAGCTTTCCTGAAGATAGCTGAGACTGCCCCAGGGCTGCCCCAGGCTCTTGTGACAGTGCTGTCCTTTCCCCTTCATGCTGGGTGAGTGGGAGAGGCTGGAGGGGAGCTGCCCAGTGTGTCCTTGCTAACTGTGTCCCTCCTCGTTCCTGCTACAGGCTGAGGCCTGTGGATGTCGAGTTCATGAAGGCTCTGCATGAGAAGGTCAACATTGTGCCCCTGATTGCCAAAGCCGACTGCCTGATCCCCTCTGAGATCCGGAAACTAAAAGAGAGGGTGAGATGCTCTTTCTCTACAGGAGTGTACTTGATGTGGTGGCAGGGGTGTGCAGAGGGGGGAGGGGAGTAGTGTATCCGATATATACGTGTATGTATATACAAAAAACCCCAGTGTGTGTGTGTGCATGTGTGTGCGTATATATACACACACACAGTACCTCCTAATGTAAGTGCAGCAGTGCTCTGCTGTGAGAAGGGAAGTGTGTGCAGAGAGGCCAGCTCTAGAGGAAGCATCAAGTCCTTTCACTGTCTGTAGGCTATAGCAAACCTGTGGTAGCACAAATAGAATAAACCCAGCATTTCTGTATTGTTCAGTGTTGTGTCCTTTTGTTTTCATCTTTCGTGGACACAGATCCGGGAAGAGATTGACAAATTTGGCATTAAAGTGTACCAGTTTCCTGAGTGTGACTCAGATGAAGATGAGGAGTTCAAGCAGCAAGACAGAGAGCTGAAGGTAAGGAACCTGCTCAGCTTATGGGTATGTTGGTTGCTCCAGGAGGAGCCAGAGCTGCCCTGCGTATGCCAAAGGCCTGTGCTGCTGATCCCCAGGAGACAGGCTGTGTTGGCTCATGTGGTAGGCCTGGAGAAGCTGCTGATGTCATTGTGGTGCCGTGAAGTGTGGCACGAAGACATGTCACTTGTGCTCTCTCACCAGACAGGGTCAGTCTTCCGCTGGTCTACCCCAGCCTGTAGGTTTATGATGGAGGCTGGAGTGTATGGCATTTGTAAGTACCTGTTTCTGAGGGATGCCATCAGCAAGGAGGGAGAGATTAGTGGGTGATGAGGCACCACTGTGACAACATGATCATACAGGCCTATCTGTAGGCCCCAGCAGCCCAGGCCTGACCCTCTCCCAAACTGAGCCAGCCCTGCATGTACATACAGTATGGCCTTGTTTCTCCTGTCAGAGAGGGGCAACGGGCTTTGATTCCTTTCTGAGCAGAAAAGAGCACAGCCTGTACCTCCCTGTCTGGACAAGCTCTTGGCCTATATTATCCCACTTGCTTGGTGTCCAAGCCTCTCTGCTCTGGCTTCCTTGTAGAGTTCTCCCTCAGAGAAAGGCTGCAGGCAGAGACACGGTTTCCCTCAGGACAGCTGTGAAGGTCAGGCTGGGAGGCAGGCTACCTGCAGATCCCAGTGCCTTAGGCTTTTCTCTGCAACTGGGCCGTGGTGTCCTGTGCTGTGGCACAGGTGGATGTCCTTGTGCTTTTCCTATCAGCACTTTCCTCCTCCTGTTCACCTCCACCTGTGCTTGGCCCTTGGAGGAGGTTGCTGGGCTCAGCAATGCCTCTCATTCCAGGAGAGCGTGCCCTTTGCCGTCATCGGCAGTAACACCGTGGTGGAGGCGAAAGGCCAGCGAGTCCGTGGACGGCTCTACCCCTGGGGCATTGTGGAAGGTAAGCATGGTGCCTGGGAGCTGGCACGGAGTGGGGGTAGGCAGGGATGGTGGGTAGGACTGGTGGGCACATGCAAGAGGGATGGCAGCTGGGAGCTCACCTCTGCACAGCTGTGACCTGGCTGTGCCACCTTTGGCATATGGCAACAACAGGGTAGGGTAGAGACAAGGCCGCCGGGACCTGCTCAGGATGTCTGTTGGTGGGGATGCAGCAAGCACCCTGCCTCTGAAGCCTTGACAGGGTGAAAAAGAGGATCCCGTGTGAATGGAACAATGTCTGGGCTTCAGTGAACTAGGATAAGGCTTCTTATTAAGGGGAGAAGCTGGGTGTTGTGAGTTTAGTTTCAGCGGGAAGCCGTTGCCCTCAGGCAAACTGCATCATGAACCCTCCTGCACTCTCCTTTTCTCCTACTGCTCCTGTATGTGCTGGAGTTGCTGGGCTGGAGACTGTGCTGATGCACAACGTGCTTCTCTCTAACTATTTTTCCTTTCAAAAGGGAGAAATTTTTTAAAATGCATAGGCAGAATAACCTTAGGATGGCTTTTGATGCTGTTGCTGACTTCTCTGTGCTGGAGCATTGCTTGGAGCTTTAGATCCCAAAAGCCTGTGCGTGCACGCGTGGGCTGGTCCTGGCTGCTTGGACTGCCCAGCTGCTGGCTTTGCTCTCAGTGGCTCCGGAGGAGGCTGTGCCTGTCCTGGCATTTGGCAGTGGGATCAACTTTGTGAAACCCTGAGCCTGACACAGCTGGCTTCCCCCAGCCCTGCAGAGAGGTAAATGGAGATCACCGCGACAGGCACACAGCTGCCAAGCACCACACTTCCCTGCAGAGTCCCACAGTGTTGTCTGGGGCCTGGTTCTCCATGGTAACAGCAGCTCTTTCAGGTCTCAAGACCACTGCCTGCCTGCTCTTGGCTTTGCCCCTCAGGACCTGATTCAAGTCCTTGGGGGAAACTATCCTGCCTACAGCAGCCTTTCCATCAGTCCTAAATTCTGAGGAGACAAGCAGTTTGCCTCCAGCACTCACTGTGGTTGTGATGACAGCCCATGTACCTGGGAGCAGCATCTCTTTCCGGGGTCTGCTGTACGTGCTTCATTTCTCCTCTTACCCAGAAAAAGTCCTGGGGACACAGTGACCTCAGCAGCCTGGCCTCAGCATGGAGAAGGACAGAGCGTCATCAAAACCTGCACCAGAGCCAGGAGGAGGGCCCCAGGCACTGGTGTGAAGAGTCGGGAGGGGATGGGGAAGGGGCTCTGGGGGAAGTTTTAGTCCAGCCTGGGTGCCCAGAAGTGAGAAGGAGAGGGCTGATGTGGTGTGACATCCAGGCACTCTCCTGTTGTTGCTCCTGCAGTGGAAAACCAGGCACACTGCGACTTCGTGAAGCTGCGGAACATGCTGATCCGGACACACATGCACGACCTGAAGGATGTCACTTGCGATGTCCACTATGAGAACTACCGAGCTCAGTGCATTCAGCAGATGACCAGGTGGGTCCCCACTGCTTCAGCCGGAGGTGGCAGGAGTGTCTCACTCTCAGTGGAGCTGGGGTTGCTCTCGGAATAGCTTCTCGGTCGGGAAGCCGTGGGTCTGCTGGGGACATGCTGGGCTGCAGCCTGGGCAAGAGCACTGGGAAGTAAAATAGCAAATCCAAGCATGTCTCCCACAGCTCAACCCACCCTGGGAATACCTCTGAGAATCTGTGTTCCTGTCTGAGGGTTCCCCATGCAGATCTTGGGAAATAGGTCTGGAGAGGAGATTTTTGGAGAGCTGTTCTTAGCACTGGGTGAAATATATCCAGCCTAATGAAACAGGATAAACCATCTCTCTGGTGGGTGATAGCAGTACGCATTGGCAAAGACGGCGGCATTCTGCAGTGCTGTCCAGTTGACAGCATGACCCTTGGGATGCTGCTGTTTCTCAGACAACAAAGCCCAGGCAATTACCAAGAATTAACACAGCTCCAAATATTTCTCTGCATAGTCTTCCTGTTGCATTTGATTCTCTGTTGTTTTAGTCACAATGATCAGAAAATAGAGGACACTCACAGGCTTTCATTTGAAAGCCACCTCTTTTTTCCCTCTCCCTTCCACGACTGAAGTATTAGTGATAAATTTTAGGTTTAAGTAGGTCTTGGCTCATCTGTTGTGAACCATCCCCTTCACTTCCTGCCTAAACTGGCCGGGTAGCTCTGCTCCCACGTTGCAGAGCAGAAATGGCTGCACTTCACCAAGGAACGGCCCTGTGATGCGTGCAAACATGCAGGTCGGCACATTTTGTCCTTTGCATAGCCGGGGGAGCCTGTCTTTCTCAACAGTGAGAATAGAGTCCCAAAATAACTATGTTGAATGCTGAAGATCTGTGAGAAGTGTCACAGCTGCTATTTAGGTAGGTGATGTATCTATTAAAAGAAGAGCACAATGAAAAAGCAATTGCTCAGCTTAAGAAAAGCTGGTTGGGTACCATTTCTCACGCCATGGCTAGTTCCTTGCTGGTGAACAAGTCTCATAAAAACAAAGCGTGGCAGTTTCTAGCAGTGGGATGAGGGTCCTTCTCTAGGGAGACGTTTTGGGAGGAGATCCCAAGCCTCAGGGCTGGAATTGGCTCAAGAATGAGCCAACGGTGACCTCAAGTGGTGAACGACTGCAAGTGGCATCTGGAATGCCCAGAGTCAGCCCAGGCGTCTTTGGCCAGTACCAACTTCTTACCTACTGGCAGCCCCTCTGACTTTTGGAAGAAAGTCAC